AACAGAGCTGGAGTGGCTACAGTAATACCCAACAAAATAGACTGTAAGACAAAAATTGTTATTAGAGATAAAAAGGACAGTATATAATGATAAAAGGGTCAAGCCATCAAGAAGATATAGCAATTATAAACATACATGCACCTAACAACAGAATCCCAAAACACATGAAGCAAAAACAAACAGAACTTAAAATAGAAATAAACAATTCAACGCTAATAGCTTAAGACTTCAATATCTCACTTTCACTAATGGATAGAACAACTAGACAAAAAAGAAGCAAGGAAATAAAAGACTTTAACAACACTATATACCAATTAAATCTAACAAACATAGAATATCCTACTCAACAACAGTAGAAAACATTCTTCTCAAGAGCACATAGAACAATCTCCAAAATATACCATCTGCTAGGCCATAAAACAAGTCTCATTATGTTTTAAGAAAGTGAAATCACATAAAGTATGTTCTCTAACAATAATGGAATGAAATTAGAAGTTAATAACAGAAGGAAATTTAGAAAATTTACAAATATGTGAAAATTAAGCAACACTCCTAAGTAACCAATGAGTCAAAGAAGAAATCACAAGGGAAATTAGAAAACACTTTGAAGAGAAAGAAATAAAAACACAATATACAAAAACTTACAACCGTTGCTGTTGAGTCAATCTTGACTGATAGCGACCTTATAAGACAGAGTAGAACTGCCTCATAGAGTTTCCAAGGAGTGGCTGGTGGATTCGAACTGTTGACCTTTTGGTTAGCAGTTGAGCTCGTAACAAAAGCTTATAGGATGCAGAGAAAGCACTGCTCAGAGAGAAATTCATACATGTTAATGTTTAGCTTAACCTTTCACCTTAAGAAATTAGAAAAAAGAGCAAACTAAACCCAAAGCAAGCAGAAGAAAGGAGATAATAAAGATAAGATCAGCGATAAATAAAAAACGGATAAACAATAAAGATCAATGAAACAAAAAGTTGGCTCTTTGAAAAGATAAACATATTGAGAACCTTTAGCTAAACTGACCAAAAAAAGAGAGAGAGAAGACGCAAATTATGAACTCTAACCCTAACCCACCAGGATGGCTATAATAATAATAATAATGATAAAGGAAAACAAAAGCTTGGCTGTGAAGAAATTAATACTATCAATACACTGCTGGTGGGAATGTAAGCTAGTGCAGCTGCTATTGGAAAACAATTTGGCAGTTCCTCAAAAAGTTAAACATAGAATTATCACATGACACAGCAACTCTACTCCTAGTTATGTAGCCAAGAGAACTGAAAAGAGATGTTAAAAAAAAAAACTGTACACAAACGTTCATGGCAGCATTGTTCAGATAGTCAAAAAGCAGAGACAATCCAAATGTCCATCAGCTGATGAATTAATAAAAAATGTGATACATTCATACAATGGAATATTACTCAACCATAAAAAGAAATGAAGTATTATTACATGCTACAACATGTATGAACTTTGAAAACATTATGCTAAGTTAAAGAAGACACAAAAGGTCACATATTGTATGATTCCAACTATATGAAATGTTCAGAATGCACAAATCCATAGAGACAGAAAGTAGATTAGTTGTTTCCAGGGGTTGTAGGGAGGGTGGGAATAGAACTACAGTTGATTCTCATTAACTGAGGTAGTTCTATAAAGTTCCCAGGAACACTGAAATCGTGAGTACCAAACCAGCCTGTCTAACCATGCCTGGGACCATACACATCAGGCAACTCAAATATTGCATCACTCTGCATATGAAAATGTCTGTGAATGACCATGAAAGTGATGTGAGTATGGATTTAGGGGTTATGAATAAATGTTATCAAGTAGGTGAATTTGAAAATACAGAATCCACAAATAATGAGGATCAACCCTGCAGTTAGTAGGTACAGGGTTTCTTTTTGGACGGATGAAAATGTTCTGCACAACATAATGAATATACCAAGAACCACTGAAGTTTACACCTTAAAATGGTGAATTTTATCTTAAGTGAAGTGTATCTCAATAAAAAATGTAATTAAAAAATTACAGGGTATATTATATTTAATAGTAAAATGATAAAAGCTTAACAAATAATTTCAATGATGAAATAAAAATTTCAATGATGAGAGTTTTCTCTAAGATTGTGAATGAAACAAGGGTATGTGTTATCACCTCTGCTTTTCTACGTTGTATTGGAGATCCTAATTAGCACAAAGGCAGAAAATGTATAATATATACATAAACTAAAGCATTAATAAATAGATTTAGGAAGGTTGCTATATACAATGTAGTTATACAAAAATCAATCGTATTACTACGTACCAAATACAATTAAAAATGAAATTTAAGAAACAATACCAGTTATATAAAAATACCAAATATCCAGGCATAAATCTCAGAAAAAAAAGTGCAATATGTACTCACAAAAAGCTGCAACACATAACTGAAAGAAATCTTAAAAGATCTAAATGAATGGATCTATTCATGGCTTATAGATGCAATACCATCAAGATATCAATACTTCTAAAATTGATCTATATATTCTATGTAACCCCAATCAAAAGACTCAGCTGAATAATTTGTGGAAAATGACACGCTGCTTTTTAGGTTTATATGGAAGCGTTAAGTGGTAAAAATAGCTAAAACATAAAACAATCTTAAAGAAGGAAAACAAAGCTGGAGAATTACTATACTAGATAATCTATTATAAAGCTACTGTAATTAACACTGTGTGATGTTGGCACAAGAATGGACAAGTAGATGAATGGAACAAAGTAGAAAGTCTACAAACAATCCACAAAGTTATGGACACTTGTTTTATGACAAAGTTGGCATCTGTAAAACTGTAGGAAGCAGTCTTTTCATTAATTTACACTGGGCTAATTGCTTTGGAAAACTCTATGGAAAAAAAAACTGATCACTACTTAACATCAAACAACAAAATGAATTACAGGTGGACTGTACATATGTAAATGTGAAAAGTAGAACATCAAAGTTTCTAGGAGATAGGAGATGGAAATATCTTTATGATTTCAAAGTAGGAAAAGATTTCTTAAACTGTACACAAAAATCACCAAATACCAAAGAACTAATGGACCACAGCTACCACGGCCTCCACCAGACTGAGTCCAGTACAACTAGATGGTGTCCGGCTACCACTGACTACTCTGACGGGGATCACAATAGAGGGTCCTGCACAGAGCTGGAAAAGGATGTAGAACAAAATTGTAACTCACAAAAAAAAAAGACCAGATTTACTGGCCTGACAGACTGGAGAAACCCAGAGAGTATGGCCCCCGGACACCCTTTTAGCTCAGTGGTGAAGCCCCTCCTGAAGTTCACCGTTCAGCCAGGGATTGGACAGCCTCATAAAACAAAACAGGACTAATGAGGCGCAGTAGTCCAGGGACAGGGACTGGAAGGCAGGAGGGGACAGGAAAGGTGGTGATAGGGAAACCAAGGTTGAGAAGGGACAGTGTTGACATGTCATGGGGTTGTTAACCATTGTCATAGGGCAATAGGCGTATTAACTGTTTAATGAGAAACTATTTGTTCTGCAAACTTTCATCTAAGGTACAAAAAAAAAAAAAAAAAAGAATTATCTGTGAGATCAAATTGACAACAGCAACTCAAAAGTTTCGATGGGAAGCCTAGGGGACAGTGAGTTGAAGATAATGATGGAATAATCTGGAAACAAATAGTGAGAATAGCAGCACAACTGGAAGAATGTAATCGATGTCACTGAATTGTATACGTAGAAACTTTTGAAATGGTGTAACTTTGGCTATGTATATTTTCACCAAAAAAAAGGTCCTCAAGGTCAAGAATGGAGAGTGTTGACATGTCATGGAGTTGTTAACCAATGTCATAAAACAATACGTGTACTGACTATTTAATGAGAAATTATTTGTTCTATAAACCTTCATCTAAAGTACAATAAAAAAAAATTTTTTAAATCACCAAATAAACACAAATGTATGCATTTGTGATGTTTGTATACAAAATACATCAAAACACTTATGATTAAAGTTACATTAAAATTAGTAACTTCTGGCCATCAAAAGACACTATTAAGAGAGTGAAAGGCAAGCCAGAGCGGGAAAAAATATGTGTAAAAGACTTATGCCTGAAAAATATAATGAATAGTTTATAAAACAGTAAGATAAGTCAGGCAACTCAATTAAAAAAAAAGACTTGAAGAGACACTTCACACAGGAGAAAAATCAATGTCCAATAAACTTAAGAAAAGGTGCTCAATTGTATTATTCATCAGAGCTATGCAAATTAGACCATAATTAGATACCACTACAAACCTACCAGAATGGTTAAAATATAAAAAACTTGACCAAGCACTGGCAAGGATATAGGGTAACTGGAATTTTCATACCCTGCTAGTGAAGTAAAAACTGATAACAAACATTTTGGAAAACTAAACATTTTATTTATCCAGTAGTAGTTACTGAAGTTGAACTATACATACCCCATGACCTTGCAACTTAACTCCAAAAATAGAAATGTATACATATGTGTACTAGAATATATGTATAAGAATATTCACAGGAAAATTATTCATTGTAGCCCCAAACTGGAAACAACACAAATGTCCAACAAAAATAAATTGTGGTATATTTATAACTGTGCTATCACACAGCAATGAAAATGAATAAATTATTGCTAAATGCAATAATAATGGATAAATCTCACAAATAGGATATTGACTAGAGGAAGTCAGATGCAAAGGAATACACAATGGGATGATTCTATTTAGCTAAATTTCAAAAAGCAGGCAAAACTAATCGATAGTGTTAGACAGTTGTTACCTTTGTGAAGGAAGAGGAAGGTGGCACTGGGAGGAAGTATGAGACACGCTTCTGGACACTGGTAGTGTTCTATTTCTTGATCTTGAAGACTGTTAACTTGGTTCACTTCGTGATCGCTCATCAAGCTGAACATCTGCATTTTACGTACCTTCGCGTATGTTTTTTACTCAATTACAAGTTTTAAAAATTATTTACCTGTTTTTTCTGTGTTCTGTTCCTGTTTTCCAGCCAGTCATCCATTTGTTCTTCAATTTCTTCTATAGAAGTTCCATGTTCATAAGATTCAATATATGTACTTTCTAAAGGTGTGTATACAGGAAATTCAGGTTTTGGTTTTTTTACTTTAACTTTCTTCTGTCCTAAAAAATGTTGAAAAGAACCAATTATTGAGATTTATATAAAAATAATTTCTAACATTTGATTCATAGACCATATCTTGAAAGAACATGTTAATATTGTTCTTTCATCAAAAATAAAATTTTTGCTATAAATAGATGACCCTGTTCTACTGTACATTAACCATTACACTGTTCATAAATAAAACTCAAGAGATATTGACGATGAGATGATGATCACAATATAGCCACCATGTCAATTTGTATACATTTTTAGTTTTCAAAATATTTTTCATCAAATACTTCATTTTAGAACAATGAAAAGTGCCTCGTCTTTAGTGGTTTAACCCTACCTTTACAACTTAATAGTTACATAATCTTAGGAAAGAAACTTAACCGTGATTATCAAAAATTTAATAAAACCTACTGCTGGAGATATAAGGGGTATCTCTACACTGCTAACGGAAATGTGAATTATTACAACCCCTTTGAAAAGCTACATAAGAACATCTATTAAAATTAAAACATATAACCTTTTCCCTAGCAATATCCCCAGAAATAAAAGCATTAGAATGTAATTGTATGAGTCCATGTACATGGGTATGTATGTGTATGTGTGTGTGACTATTAACTGTTTCTTCACAAAGATATAAAACTGCTAACACAGTGAATGTTTATTAATAGGAGAACTGACTGAATAATTATTGATAATACATCTCTACTAAGGAATATTAATGTCCATTAAGATACTGAAATAGAGTGACACCAGTTGACTCGTAGAGATTTCCATGAGTTAAGAGTAAAAAAAGCAAGATACAGAAAAAGTATGCAAGATTCTATACTTACAAAACAAAATAACACCTCTACAAATCCCTACATATGCATATGTATATATACGCATATAAACGTTTGAAAATTATCATATAAACATGAAAAATATATGGATGAACACCTACCAGGTATGTGGGGAGATAGATGAAAGACAGAGGGAGCATAGAGACAAGGAATAAAGGAAAAGAAAAGGAACAATACAGTTATATATGTGTGTGTGTGTGTGTGTGTATACATATATAAAATGTATATTTAAATATTTTTATTACAGGTATAAATATAAAAATAAAATTTTAAGAGACTACATGACATAAATTGATATGAAAATTCAGATTTCTAAAACCAATAAACTAATAACTTATTAAATATTCACTAAATTCTGTGCTACCTTAATAATACAGGGCTAAGGCTGAAGCATTTAACATTTTACACATATATTAAAAACATATTTTTCCAAAACTAAATGCCTCTGAGAAAACATGTGTAAGTGAATAAAAGACTTCAATTCCCTAACCAATCACATCTTTCCTCCAATTTTCTGGTTTCAATCAAATCTACATAATTAGTATGGGCCCAGGTATCATGAATTTTGGGGGTCATGAACACATCATTTTTATACTTCATTCAAGAAAAACAAATCTAAGATTTTTTTTTAGCATCATGAATTTTATGGAAAAAATTTTCAGTTAACTAAAAAATATTCTGGCTGCTACAGGAATAAGTCTTATTAACATTTAATAACTGATAGACTTCAAGTTTAGATTGATTCCTAATGGCAATTAGACTTGACGAAAGCAAAGAATAAAAAACTAACCAACTAACCAAGCCAAAACAAACAAAAAGCGAATAAACAAAAAACCAAAAATAAAACCCAAGAGCAAAAGTAAAACCCATATTTCATGAAATATCTAGTGAACAAAGAGACATAGTTTCCTCTTAAAAGAAAAATTCATTCAGTAAGACTACCAAAGGAATGAGAAATGAGCCAAATATCACCTTAAGGTAGACTTCAGTTTAATGCCCCTTCTAAACAAAAAAATCAAGAGTTTGGGCCCAGAAAACAAACATTCTGGCACAAGTAGTCGATCTTCTTACACAGTCAGAAGCTTACACTATTAACTTATGAGCTAGCTACTTTGGTAAAAAAATTTGTCTCATAGTACAAAAATATTTATTATGCCAAGCAACATTCACCAAACAGTGATTTAGCTCTTTGGCCATAAAAGAGAGGCTATTCTTTGGGTGTTGAAGAACAGTGTGTTGTTGTGTGCCATTCAGGTGGTTTTCAACTCATAGTGACCTCACGTGACAGACCAGAGTTGCCCCCATAGGATTTTCTAGGCTGTAACCTTTAAGGGAGCAGATTACTAGGTCTTTTCTCCCATGGAGCCACTTGTTGGGTTCTAACTGCCAACCTTTCCCGTTAGCAACTGAGCATTTAACCATTGTGCCGCCAGGGCTCCTGAAGAACAGTATAATGCAGTTTAAATTGAGCGAAATCACAGTATCTTAAACCTATTATCTTCTTTTTCAAGCAGGCGTAGAGAACTTCTCTTTGGAAAATGTTCAGACATTAGAGCAGCAAATATTAGTAAAACAACTGGAAGAGGAAAAGAAAGCAAATTTTAATCAGTTTTGAACACTGTACTTTAAATACAGAACTGGATTATGTCATAAAAGTTATCAGAATAATAAGGAGACTTGAAATCATGTCATGACATGAAAATGGTAAAAAAAAACAGAGAAAACAAGAATGAGTAAAAACTAGGTTCTATTTCTTTATATGCAATTTACCAATACATTAACCTTCTTCACATCACTTACCTCTCTAAGCCTCCATCTACAAAATGATGCCCTACCTATCTCACAGCATAGTTGTAGGGATTAAACACTGAGTTGTATATGACCATGTTTTAAACCTTAAGAAGGGACAGAGCTATATCGCAAACTAAGCTCCCGATAAAATCTCCTTCACTCCCACTTGCCTCTTCCAATGTCTTTCCCATTCCTTTTAAGTACTGAAGTACAAAACCTTGAAGTCATCAATCCCTCCATCACTCTAACATCCTATATGAAATCCACCACAAAATCTTCGCTCTACCTTCAAAATATATTCAGAATCCCATTACTTCTCCCTACATTCACTTTTACCACACTGACCCAACTCATCACCATTTCTTGCCTGCATTACTGCAACAATTCCCAACTGATCTTCTTGATTCAAGTTCTTCTTTGCTTCAGTTTCTTCTTAACCTAGCAGTCAGACTTCTCAGAACCTGTGTCAAATCATGTTGGCCCTTGTTATGGACTGAACTGTGCTCCCAAAAATATGTATTGATATCCTAACCCTTTTAACTGTAACTATGACCTTGTTTGGAAATAAGAATTTTTCTTTTGTCATGTTAATAACAGCATACCAGTATAGGGTGGATCCTAAACCCAATCACTTCTGAGCTATAAAAAAGACCAAAAAAGACACAGAGCCACACACAAGAGGAAGAGGAAGACAGAGACAAATGCATCTACAATAGGAACGCCAAGGATTAGCTGGCAGCTATTAGAAGCTGAAACAGACCAGGAAAGACCTCCCCATAAAGACAAGCCCTGAATTCAGGCTTCTAGTCTCCCCAACTGTGAGAAAACAAATTTCTGTTCTTTAAAGCCACAACTTGTGGTATTTTTTATTATAGCAGTACTAGGTAACTAAGACACCTTTCTACCAAACCTTCATATGGCTTCCATTTCACTAAAAGTAAAAGCCAAGTTCTTACAATGGTCTATAAAGCTCTATGTAATTTATGCCACCCATCCCCATCCCATTATCATCTCTCTGACCTAATTTTGTTCTACTTTCCTCCTTGTTTATTTAAACTCCAGCCTCCTTGCTATTCCTCATATACACTAAGGCATCAGTCAGCTGCTCCCTGTCTCAGATCCATTCCCCTCACCTCCCTGGCTCACTCCCTAACCTCATTCAGGTCTTTGCTGGGAGGTGGTCTCCAGGAATGGCTTCATTTACAGGTCAGAAGGGTGTCTTAGGGCCATATTCTCAGGGGGTTGCTCCATTCTGTCAGACTAGCAAGCCTGGTGCTTTTCAAGATTTTGATTTTTTTCTTCGAAAATCTTCTCCCACTTTGTCTAGGACCCTCTGTTGTGATCCCAGTCAGAACATTTGGTAGCTGGGTACCATTTAGTTCTTCTGGTCTCGGAGTCGTGTAGGCTGTGTGTGGTTCATGTGGTCCAGTAGTCCTTTGGACTAACTGTTCCCTTGAGTCTTTGGTCACTTCCACTCTCCCTTGCTCAGGATGGGAAGAGAACAACAGTTTTATCCTAGATGGCTGCTGAGAAGATTTTAAGATGCTACTCACCAAAGTAGGATGCAGAACACTGACTTTATGTACTATGTTATGCCAGCTGACATAGATGTTCCCCAAGTCTACTGTCCTTTGTCTTCTAGCCTAGGCACTTACCCACAAGATGTCTGGTTATGTCTAAGAGATTTCTCTCACTTCACCCTTTGTGTGCTCTATATGAGCCGCACCAACAATCACGAATGCAGAAATATCCACCATCAAACCTGTATTTGCTGGTGAGTGTGTTCCCTTGCATCCTCCCACATCTCTTGGTGTATCTATTTGTCCATTTATAAATTTATTGTTAATACTATTGCTGCAGGACTGTCCAAGCTATAATAATTATCATAGTAGCCCTTTATTCTTGCATTCCTCTCAGTGTCCTCTCTTAGCTTGGTCATGTTATGCTTACTTCCCCTATACTATGTATTGCCTTTCCTTTCACCAATATTAACTCATGTCTTCTATCTAACTGGTAACCATCAAAGAATGTTTTTTTCTTTTTTTTCCTGGGTGTAAACTTTTATTTTTTTATTTTTTTTATTGTACTTCAGGTGAAGGCTTACAGAACAAATAGTTTCTCATGAAACAGTAGTACAATG